AAAAAGTAACCCTGCCATAATCAACATTACATACACAATAAAGGTACATAAATTGTAATGTGATTTATAATTAATACTTTTATTTTCACTATTTATTTATAAATACTATGGCTCTCTATCTTTCTTAATATCATGACCATCTTTTCCCTAAAAATCAGATAAGATATGGCCAATGAATACTTTATAATATTTTAATAAAATTAAAGTTCTGTTAAGTATTTTCTCTTTAATTTCGATAGTATTTGTTACTTTAAGCTTCAGTGAAAGTAATATCCCAAATATTGTTAAAAAATAACAAGAATAAATGTATGTTTTTTGTATTTTAAAAAACTATGGCCGTCATACCCGAGTTTACCCTATACAATATGTATAATTAGCAACCAAAAATGACTAGAATTATGGTTATTATTACCACAAAAATAGTTTCAATTACTATAATTTAACTGCAATTTCTAGTCATTTTTGGAGACAATTATGATAAAATATAATTCTCTCAAAAATGAAAATATAAAGTATATTAGTTACATTATAATAATTGCAACCGTTTTTACAGTAATTTTAATACGAAATTGGACCGATAAGAATAAATCTAATTAAGACAAATTTTATTTTCGGATCTTAGCGTCTAAATATTTCGATGTGAATTTAAATACATATCCAATTTTGCAAACTTCGCGGTAAAATTTTATCAGTCTTGAAACGCGATCATAAAAGAACTAGAAGAGTAATATCGCATATTAAATTAACAAGCAATTTAATAATTAATAAGCATTTCATGAGAACATTAATAATTTGATATCAATAAAAATCTTAAAAAGTGTGAATAATTTATTGCCAAAAAACATTTTTATGATAGCGATAATTCCAATCATTTTTGGTTGCTAATTATACGTATTTATATGATAACACGTAATTATAGTCACAAATATATATGAAAAATTGTTCTCTCGGTATAAATTTCTATTGTACTCTCTAAAGAAAACAAAACAATTCTAGTCGGAATCCGAAGAGTTCATAATACGTGCCCGGAAGCAAACGCAATGTTATCACAATCCGAGAGAAGATCTATCCGGCATTGAACATCGGGGATTAATAGGGATAATCTAATCAACCAGCGCACGCGTGATTTCTTCCGCTAGCAGAAGGCGTATCCGATTTTGCCGCGTGTTCGCGGATATATAAAAGCGGCCATGCGTTCGAGCGGTAAACCTCGATTCCCGCCGTCGTGCTCGCATTGGTTCGTATAGGACGGGTAGCATGTCACAATAGTGTAACTACGGCCATACACCACCTCGCGGTGTATCCGATCCACTGGAGAATAGACGCTACAACGACGACGAGAAACGCTCGGTGGCTGCACTGACCCTACACCGTCACGCGACCTGCTCCATAAATAAATATAGAAACGCACAGAGACAGGCTGGTCTCGTTAACGGCGTTGCCTCCGTATAACGAACACTGGCCTTAATTAGTTTGTTAATACGCCCAAGCGATTTGGATGTCACGTATATCGGAGTCAGTTTTCCGCGCTCGATTTCGGTGTAACGTTAACGAAGCCATCCCCCAGTCGCCTCGGGACTGAGGATTCTAAACTAAGGATTGGAGTTTAGGGCGGCGTGGAGGACCTCGCAGGTCGAAATGATTCGGTACGATTTACCGAGTTGAATCTCTCGGGATCGTCTCTCTCTCTCTCTCTCGGAGTATTATAAGAACAACCGACGTCATTTCGCGATTTAGAGGTGGAGGAAAGCGTAGGACACTTTCGGTAAGGGAGGATACCTATATACTCGTGTCGTAGGAACTTAAGTTCTGAAGAAATGCAGTTCGCAATAGTTTTGGCGTCTACGAGATTACGTGTACCGTAAAGATAATTAAAAACGCCACGGTAGTCGGCAGAGACACATTTTCGCGAATCGAAGCTCTCTCTCTCTCTCTCTCTCTCTCGGGCACTTATCGCACCCGTGGCATTACGCGGAGAGTCCGTAATGCCGTTTAAAATAACGCCAGTGACAGCTACGGGTTGCAGCGTGCAGATAACTGCGTGTCGCGCGTGTGCGCATTCATCGCGGACAATGCGAGCGATCTTTTAAAAGAGATCCACTTCGCGCACCTATACAGAGACCTATACAGACCCATACAGACCGGCGGATGACGAGTATTAAAATCGCTTGCGTCACTGTCCGCGATGTTCTCTGTTTAAGTGGACAGGCGGTAGGCTGCGCGGGCGCGAGCGCGATTATTCGCTGCCAGGAT